CAAAAGGAAAGGGGTTACTCCTTAAAACAATAATAATAATTAATATTTTTATTATTGAGTCGTGTTCGTGTTTAGTATATAGCTTACTTTATTTTTGTGCGACGGCAACATTTAACAATTTTTTATTATATATAGCCTGTGACATACAAAATTTTTTCATTACGCAATGTTGCATGTTTACGTGACACAAAATCCTTACTATTTGATTTTATTATTTGGTCCCCAATGAAAAAATTTATTTAATAAAACAAAATTTACAACTCAAAAATTTTTTTTTGCATGTAATAAAATTCCATTATTAACTATTAACAATCTAATTATAGATCTTGACCGATCAAACCCGCCTATATAGTTATTGAATACTTGATAATAATAAAACGTTAATTAAATATATTTTACAAACAGCTTCGTAGATCTCGACTTTAAGACTTACTTTGACCAAACCTGCTTATAATAATAAACGTTCATTTTGGAAACTTGATTTGCAAACGGATCTTGACTTTAACACTTACTTCTACCAAGCCTGCTTATATAATTATTTGAATAATTGATAAAGCGAAATCGAGTGGACTTACCCCCGAGGGTTGAAAAGACCAACAACAACGATGATAAGAAATCCCCACGCAAAGCATTAAAATCCAAACATCCGGATTTTGAAGAACAATTCATGAGTTCCAACAGTAAGAGAAAGACCACAAATCACATTAGGGAGTCAGATAAAAAAAGAAGAAGTGCAGACCATGTCCCACAGGAAGAATCAAGTACATCAAGAGCAACGAAACTGACACATACAATGAACAGAGTTGTCAGCAACAATAAAGGTTATACGGATGCAGTAGAAAATTCGGACAACATTGAAAATGATGATGATAATAATGAGAATGAAACAGTGGTAAACGACGACGGTGATGAGAGTTGTAACCCTGAATAATTTTTATTATTCTTTGTATTTTTTTTTTTTTCGCAATAAAAATTACATAGATCAAATTTTTTTTTCATTCATTGATAAAATAATGTTCAAATTAATTTATCAATATTAATAGACGACGATGATTCTTTTACTATTGCAGAAGTATATATATAATGAAAAAAACATTGAATGATTAATCATCAAAACAATGTTTTTTATTATCTGAGAAGTTTTGAGTCATATTGACTTGGGATATTTTATTCTTAAAAAACCAGTCGATAAATTTTTTTGATGTGAAATAAGCTAGGCATTTGATACATAATACGGCATATGTAAAGTGACGCATTGCCGTGTTTATGCTGTACTGATATCGAAACCCTCAAGTGTTCATACAGGGTGTTAAGAAAAAAACGGCGGTTGGTAAAAATATTGTTTTTAATAAAAAAATAGCCAAAATTATTATAACGGAGAATCGGAGGATCTTAGATTATAATATATGAAATTTTTGAAGCATGTTATTATGTAGGCTTTAGAGCAATTATTAAAGAAATTTACACATTGAATTGTTTTTTACAAAATAATCAAATTCCTTTTATTTTTAATTAACAAAATTCTAGAAAATCTAGAAGTATGAAAGTTTATATATATAATCTCCAGAGCTTTCATTACGCACTGGTATGATTTTTTGTATGATCATTATGTATATTTTTGTGTCAGGCTTATTATTAAAAATTTCCGTGTTAAAATTTCAGACAAAAATTTTGCAAAGTTTTAAAAAAATGATATGAATTAGCTTTACAGAAAATTGGCAATAGCATATCATGTCTATTTTTTTTTATTTAACAAGGTAATTTAATAATCTTTCAAACGAATCTAAATTTATTTAATTATGTTATGTAATTGTTGAGATATGCAATTTTTTGTCACCGCCGTTTTTTTCTTGACACACTGTATGTTTGCACCCTTAGTCTGCACCATATAATTTTTTTTTTTATTTTTATAAAAAAAAAAGACATTTGAAGAAAAATGCAAAAAAAAAAATGAAATAGCTGATAGCAACGAGTAAGTGTTATTTATTAAAAAGAGTGGTAGTTATCACTATACATGAAGTCGAAACTGATTTTTACTATGTAGTTGCCTCAAGTCGAAACATTTCGACTTTGGGGTTTTAATTTCAACTTCATGTATAGTTATCACCACTTGTCTCCATGCCAATTATTTATAAAATTCATATACTAATACGTTTTTATTAGTGAGTTTCTATCGTTGATCGGCGGACCGCAAATTCAATAATCATTTCCTTTTAAAGAAAATATAAAGTATCTTTCGTAAGAATCGTAAAAAATAAAATAATCAAGTTTAAATAAAGAAATATTTAGAATTAATCAACTTTTGAATAAATTATATTTTATAAAAGTTTTCGTGTTTAATAAAATGCCGGACCAATAAAAGAAAAAGACTAATTCATAATACACGTGCAGTCAAAAAAATGAAAACTAATTCCTCAGAACCTTTACTCCTTGTAGAATCTCCCATAAGATTAATATTAATTTAAACATTTTCTTCAAAAGGAAAAGATTTTTGAAGGAAAAAATATCAAAATTTTTTTATAATAAAATCGCATAACTTTGAATTCTTATAAATCCTTATTCTACTAATAATTTTTAAAAAAATCTCTGTGGGCTATTATTTGAATCACAGAGAGAAAAAACCTGAAAATTTTTTACTCTAATTTGTTTGGTTATTGGGCCTATACATTTCAAAGTTTAACAGTATTTTAACATTTTGGATAATTTTACTAAAAAATTAAAAAAAACTCTCTGTCACCATGTGGACCATTACATTTGTTATATTTTCTCTTAATTTTATAGTTGTATCTTTTTTTTGAATGAGAAGATGCAATTTTTATTTTTATAATTGTTGAAAAAAAAGTTCATTAGTATTAGTAAATTTTATTCTGAAATTTAACAAATCCATCACACGAATACTTTTTACTATATAAAAAATGATTTTTTTTGCGAAAAAAACTTATACACTTATTTTTAAGTATGGTGCAGGACACCTAGTCCCTACAACTTTCTGCGCCACAGCGACAGATTTGGGAAAAAATTCCCAATCAAAAAT